ATCTGCATTCATCTCGAACGTAGACTACTTTAGAAGGTTATAAATACATATTTATTAAAACTTATTTGTTAGATTACTGATTTTGGAAATTCACTACATTATTTATCTTCATCTCTTTATCTATCTTTATCTATCTCTTTCTATATTCGTTATGGCGAGGAGTAGAGTACTAAGTGGTAAGCTCATTGTCCTGTCTGCGGTTCGTTGAGTTCCTCTTCAACAAAGGATATTCTAGTCTTCATTCATGAATCTAAGTGTTATCTGTTCAGTTATAGTCACTTAATTATACAGAATATTTACTATTTCTAGGTTTCATTAAGTGCTCTCTTTAACTTGAAGTCCAGAAGTCTGTTACCTTATATTACATATTTGTATAGTAAAATTTAATATAGAGTTGAATTAAAAAAGCAATTTTAATTTCTCATAAAAATTCTGTATAATTCCACCTGTTCGGAATTCTATTTATCAGTGAAGTTTCTAATAGTCAGTATAAAGTATTAAAGTATAATAGTACTAGAATATGTAATGGAATTATATCTATGCAGTATTAATAAAAAGAATAAATTATTTTGCAATTAAAATATTATGTTCAGATTATTACAACAGATTAATTTTTTATACTGCAATAAAGAATAAAAGAATCGGGAGTATTATTTAAAACCTAAGAATCATTAGGGCGTTTTAATAACTCACATAACTTCAATTCATATTTAAAATAAAAAGTGAGATCAGCGCATAGAAATAATTTTTCAAAATTGTAGATAAAAATATTTATGACAAATGCAATTTAAGTTGCATGTTCATGCAATAAAATTAAAAAATTACAATATAAAATTAACAATAAAAAAATAAAATTAATATTTTAAATAAATATTTTATGTCATGCAAAATTACATAAAAAAATACATTTAAAATGTTTGCATAAAAGAATAATAATAATTAAATTCTTAATAAAAATAAAAAAATTCCGGCGAAATAATAATAACAAAAACTCTGACTAGAACTTAAACTGACAAGACGAAATTTCAAAGAATAAAAACATACAAAATGCATTCTTAACTACATTTGTTTTGCATATCTGCAGATAATGTATGAAATCATAGCATTATTCGTCTTAGATGCAAATTAAGTTAGGTGGGTAGAATTGTGCATGTGTGCCTGACAGAGATGTCTCAAGTTAAGTAGAAAATACAGTTTTTATACTTTACAATATTTGACACGTGGCCAGACTTTAATGTTGGCATTAAAGATGTTTTATGGCTTTGCCAACAGAATAACATAATAAAGTCAACATTACTTAAGACAGATATAGACTTTGCTATCATCAAATGGCGCAGCATGCAGCTTAGAGCTTACAGCAAATAGCAAAAAACTTATTATGAAGTCACATTTGCGTATTGCTGGTGGTTATTTGAGTTTAATTCCTATGTATGTCTTAGCACTGATTATGCAATATATTAGAAAATATAAAAATAGTAGCAAATTTACACATTGTGTAGCTTCATTGGCAAACTTTGTATACAGCGTTTAAGCTGCTGTTCTACTAATCCGCTTTGTCGGATTCTTAATTGACTTAAACCATATGAATTAGGATTAAATTTCTGACATGACTTTACGAAGTTTGACATTTCCCTGTTCTAACGGATTTGATGTTGAGATTAAATAGTGACTTCTTGTTCACCTCGAAGCATTTTAAGTCTAATTACTATGATGTAAGCTTACCAAGTTTTGTATTACTTAATACGTATAAACACTACATCATTCTTTTCAGTTGTCATATAACATTTGTTTTTTTTTGTTTAACATTTTTGCAAAAAAGATCAAATTACCTGCAAAGAAAAATAAAAAGAAATTATTTTTTAGTTTGTTATGAAAAATTGCGTAAAATTTTATAATTGTGTTAAGATAATTAACAATTGAAATGGTTACAATTCATAATTAAATTTGTTTTAATTTAATTTTTTTTTAACTACTAAATAATAATATCAAATTAAATTGAAGTTAACAATAAAATTATTACAACAAAAGGCACACGCATATAACAGACTAACACACAGCTTACACTGTTAACGCATGCGTACTGTTAATTTCGCTGCTGTTATAATTTGCTCGTATTCGTTGTGATGCTTATCTCTTGCTTACATGGCTCTGTTGACCCACTAAGCTTATTTGTGTCAAAATAATTTTCGTTTTTAATTTTTTAAGTTTTTTTTGGGTTTAGTTTAATATTGTATAAAACGAAAAGCAATTAATTGTATGTATAAGTCCAAATGCTAGGGAAGACAAAATTTCGTTTACCTTTGAGCGCATTTTGGCCGCAAAACTTTTTTTTTACTTGTAGACTTAATTTATTATATTTTTTTTTAATAAATAATTTTCTTTATGTTTTGCTAAAATTTGTATTTCAAACAAAAATATTAATTTTTTGTTATAATTTTTTTTTACAAACACGCACCAAATTTTGTCTTTACATAAACCAACTAAAATTTTATGGTATTCTGCGTTTGAAACTGAAGAAGTCAGACGTAATTGGTGCGCCATTATTGAACCAAGAAGGAAGCAACGTTTCTGGTTTTTATCTTTACATATATATATATATTTTATTACTTATATCTTATATTACCAGTCAGTCAAGAGGTTACTGGAGTAGCGAAGTTTCCGTTGGTTCGTTCATAAATTTTGAGCAACTCAAATATGACATTCGCTTTATTTACTAACTACCCATGCGCCAGTGAATTTATGTACTCATATATTTCGTGAGTGATTTGGAGCAGCAAATTTTGATTTATTTTTAATTTAAATTTAATTTAATTTTAAATATCATTTTTATTGGGTGTGTGAATTTTTCAAAACATTTTTTTTTTTTGAATTATTGTATTATCAATTTTTTTTTATATCATATCTATTATTGGCCTTGACTTTAAGTTTGTTTTAATATTTTGAGATTCTTGATATTTAAAACGTTGAGCTAATTCCAATAAATTTGGGTATGAAGTACTTCTATAATCACGTACCTCTATTGTCTTTACTTAGTAGCGTGTTCACGGAAGTTTTTTCTTTAACAAATTATTAAAAAAAAATGGCATATTAGAATTTAAAGAAGATTAACAAAAGTTTGAGAGAAGAATATTTGTGATGTTGAAATTACTATTAATGTCATTGGTATTTTGATTTGGATCAAGAAATTCGTAATTTTTCAAGCTAAATCTCAGTTGACTAATAAAAAATATGTCTTTAAGTTATTTTAATATAATTCATTGAGATAATTTAGTCATTAAAGTTTAGTAACCCAAAGTATGAACACGAAGAACACGAAAGAATGAGAATATATGTTTAAAAGAAAAAGAAAAGAAAAGAACTGACTTGTATGTATCCACTTGTGCTATTGACAGCTTATAGACACTAATAGAAGACTGTCAAGCAGTCAAAATTGCAATAACTTATAAGCTATATGTTTTGTTTACAAAGGAGCGTTATTTTTGAATTAAAAAACTCTTCAATTCTTTTTCCTGAATGTGTATGAATGTATAGTTCCACAAACAATTTATATATAAACGTCTAAAGCTAATGTCAATGTTATAATAAGTGTCCACCAATATATATAAATTTGGTAATTTGCCACTAAAACGTATGTATACGAAAACTCAAAGAACATGAATACATAAAAGACTGTAAATCAATTCCGGACCGATTTTACAATAACTTATAAGTTATGTATATTGTCTAAAAAGTATCTGGCATTTATGAATTAAAATAAATGCTTAAAAAAATCCATTATTTTCTTTCTAAGATGGTATAGACAGATTATATTTAACCGTTCGATCGCTGTTCAATCTACAATAAAATATAGATCATTCATTCAGAGATGCGACGGATTTTATCAAGAATTGACCTCATCTTAAATATGGCGGGAATTTTTTTTGATGAGGCTCTCTAAAAATTGCATATTGTTGATGTTTCGGTATACAACCATATATTAGGTATTTTTAATTTTATTGACTTACTTTATTATGGTTGGATTTAATATACTAACTTGTACTCTTTACAAATATAAACTTCAGCAATAATACTCTGTCAATTTCATATTCAAGTCGTATATTTGGGTAATATTTTTCTTTACTTTGTGCTCTTAATATTTATATTGTAATAGTCTTTCTTTTTATGTAACCTTCACAAGGATCATTCGAATCTTACTATATAGTATTCGTACTATATATATACTGAGGATTCACGCATGTAATAATTTACTACCTACGGTATTCATCAACAATTCTATATATAATTCCATAAGTTTATATTCTGAAATGCTTACTAAACGTTGATATATGTATGTATTTTTTTGAATTGCTTTGCTTGAACTACTTTATATCTAATTAATTATTACATATCCTAAATAGCTAAACAGCTGCGAAATTGATTTCATTTTGAAAGTAGGATATCAACTTTTAGTTGGCAGTAAAATTTTCAATAATGGAATTATGAAATGCACACGAATAGTAATTCAACTTCACTGCTTTCAAGGAATTTGCATTGGTACTTTCTTTTTAATTTTAAACAGTTTTAAACTTAAAAACTGTTTTAAAGAGGTATAACGGTAAAATTAGTATACTTGCATTAAGGTCTTATTATCCTTCAAAAGAAGAGCAATACAATTTTAACTAACAACAAATTAGTACTTCAAAGTACAATATTCTGCTTGAAAAAAGTATTTCAAAATAAAATCTTATTACATTTCTATTTTAAATGATTAAGCTTACACATAGATATAAGATTAATAGTTTTAGAAATAAAAAAAATTTCTTTTTTTGAGGTTTTTCTTCTATTGCTTTCGAAACTATGTCTAACGTTTAAGAACCATAATTTAGTTACTCTTTAAAATTATTTTCCATAAAACGTT